TTGCATCCAACAGTTTTTTATATCTAACTAAAAGTTACATTGAAGGAACACTGATCTTGCCATGGGTGATTTAAACATTATCTTAAAAAGAAACGAAGATGCAATAATCCCCTCATTCGTTATTTTTAATCACGATCAAAGCGTATGTGGTTTTACTGACAGTGATGCAACGAAATCTATTTTTTCTCTTCGCCTGATATCACTACATATCCTACTTTTAAGTGAAAAGAAAACAGAAACAAAGCATTTTGTCCCAAAGGAGCGTACGCGTATCTGTTGCGCACGGTGTTTTCACGCGGAGAAATGCCAGCCAATGCTCCTAATCTCTCTTTTGTGTGTAAATATAAATAGCTGTGTCTGCGTAGTATTTATTAGTTAGTCTGGAACAGTGCTGTAAACGCGACCATATCTGGACATCGTTTCCAACTACAGAAATTCGTAAGAAACGGACCAGAAAAAGAAATAACGACCGCTTTTGATGTTGCTATGAAAATTAGTCGAAAATTTCGCAAATCTAGCCACTTTTTCTTTACCTAGGGAATTTGATTAAGTGACTATCATCAATAGAAGCTGTATATAATGAAAAGTGCATTAGTTCTTATAAATATCGTAATGAGAAGTATAAAATACAAACCTGTTTCATATGTCATCGTCGCATACGATTCTTTATCAAGAATGCAAAACTTACTCTCGTACTGTATCAAGAATGATTTTCACAGCAAATCTGAGACTTTCTGAATTCCCCAAAAAGTTCGGAAAACTTTGTATGAAAAGTAAAAAACGATTTTCATTTTACAAAATCTAAAACTTTCCGCACATGATTGCATTATTTTGAGAGTTCCACAAGAGGTAGTCTTTTCAGAATGAACACAATCACATGTTTCTGTCTAGAGTGGTCTGTTACTGGTAATATGACTAATGCACGTGGTTATCACACAGCATCTGTATTACCAAATGGAAAAGTATTGGTTACTGGTGGTTTAAGCAATAGTTATTTTTTAAATAGTGCTGAATTGTATGACCCGTCAACAGATATTTGGACAACTACTAGTAACATGACTAATGCACGACATATGCACACAGTGTCTGTATTACTAAGTGGAAAAATCTTAGTTACTGGTGGATCGATTGGTAATAATGTTTTTAATAGTGCTGAGCTGTATGATTCATCAACAGGTATTTGGGCAACTATTCGTAACATGACTAGTAGACGATTTCGACACACAGCATCTGTATTATCAAATGGAATAGTATTAGTTACTGGAGGATCCATTATTGGTTCTGGCACTTTAAATAGTGCTGAGCTGTATGATCCATCAATAGGTACTTGGATAACTACTGGTAGAATGACTAATGCACGATCT